CTGTCAATCTTGATTCCAGCTTGTGCTTCATCCAGCCTGGCATTCCGCATGATGTACTCTGCATATAAGTTAAATAAGCAGGGTGAAAATATACAGTCTTGTACTCCTTTCTTGATTTGGAACCAGTCTGTTTTTCCATGTCTGGTTTTAACTGTTGCTTCATGACCTGCATACAGATTTCTCAAGAGGCAGGTGAGGTGGTCTGGTATTCCCATCTCTTTAAGAATGTTCTGCAGTTTGTTGTGATCCACACAGTCAAAGGCTTTGGTGTGGTCAATAAAGCAGATGTTTTTCTGGAACTCTCTTACTTTTTCAGTGATCCAACAAATGTTGGCAATTTGATCTCTGGTTCCTCTGCCTTTTCCAAATCTAGTTTAAACTTCTGGAAGTTCACAGTTCACATATTGTTGAAGCCTGACTTGGAGGATTTTGGGCATTACTTTCCTAGCATGCGAGGTGAGTGCAATTGTGCAGCAGTTTGAACACTCTTTGGCACTGCCTTTCTTTGGGATTGGAATGAAAATTGACCTTTTCCAGTCCTGTGGCTACTTCTGAGTTTTCCAAATTTGCTGGCATATTGAGTGCAGGACTTTCACAGCATCATCTTTTAGGATTTGAAATAGCTCAACTGGAATTCCATCATTGCCACTAGGTTGGTTTGTAGTGATGCTTCCTAAGGCCCACTTGACTTTGCATTCCTGGGTGTCTGGCTCTAGGTGAGTGATCACACCATCGTGATTATCTGGATCATGAAGATTTTTTTTGTATAGTTCTTCTGTGTATTCTTGCCACCTCTTCTTAATATATTTTGCTTCTTTTAGGTCCATAACCATTTCTGTCCTTTATTGTGCCCATCTGTGCATGAAATATTCCCTTGGTATCTCTAATTTTCTCGAAGAGATCTCTAGTCTTTTCCATTCTATTGTTTTCCTCTATTTCTATTCTATTGTTTTTCTTTGCATTGATCACTGAGGAAGTCTTTCTTATCTCTCCTTGCTATTCTTTGGAACTCTGCATTCAAAGTTCAAAGGGTATATTTTTCCTTTTCTCCTTTGCCTTTAGCTTTTATTCTTTTCTCTGCTATTTGTAAGGCCTCCTCAGACAATCATTTTGCCTTTTTTCAGTTCTTTTTCTTGGGGATGGTCTTGATCACTGTGTCCTGTACAATATCACGAACCTCCATCCATGGTTCTTCAGGCACTCTGTCTATCAGATCTAATCCCTTAAATCTATTTGTCACTTCCACTGTATAATCACAAGGGATTTTATTGAGGTCACACCTGAATGGTCTAGAGGTTTTCCCTACTTTCTTCAATTTAAGTCTGAATTTTGCAATAAGGAGTTCATGACCTGAGCCACAGTCAGCTCCTGGTCTGCTCCTGGTAGAACAATTCATAGTCAGCTCCTGGTCCTGATTCATACTACTCATGAAAGAATATAGTGTGATTTGGAGTGGTCTTGGATTAGCTGTAAATGTAAACTCTAGGGAAACCACTAAATAAAGTTTTTTTTAAAGTGTCACAGATATGCTAAAAAAAAACAGAGAAACAGAATGAGCTTTTCAATTGAATGTTCACTTGAAGCCACAAAAGACAGAAAAAGAGTAAAAGATAAAAATCAGAAGAATAAGAGTAACAAAAACAGTAGCAAATATAGTAGATATTAATCTGATTATATCAATAACCACTTTGAACATCATGATTTTAAAAATCCAGTTAAAAAACAGAGATTGTCAGAGTGAATCCAAAAATAAGACCCAACTATATGTTGTTTGGGCTTCCCAGGTGGCGCTAGTGGTAAAGGACCCATCTGCCAATATAGGAGATGTAAGAGATGCGGGTTTGATCCTGGGTCAGGAAGTTCCCCTGTAAGAGGACATGGGAACCCACTCCAGTATTCTTGCCTGGAGAATCCCATGGACAGAGGAGCCTGGTAGGCTACGGTCCATGGGGTCACACAGAGATGAACATGACTGAAGCAACTTAGTACACACACACATATGTTGTCTACAAGAAAACCAGTTTAAAAGTAAATATACACATAAATTAAAAGTAAATTGATGGATAAAATATAGCCTGCTAACACTAACCTAAAGAAAACAGGAGTAGCTGTATTAATTTCAAACAGAGCATATGTCAAACAGGAAAAGCTATCAGGAATAGAGCATTTCATAATAATAAAAGGGTCAATTCCCCAAGAAGACATGATAATCCTTAATGTTATGATAGATGGTGATAATCCTAACAGAGCATCAAACTATATAAGGTAAAACTGATAGAACTGCAGGGAGAAAGAGATACATCCACTACCATAGTGGAGGCTTCAACACTTCTCTCAGAAATGGACAGATCCCATAGGCAGAAAATCATTAAGGACATAGGTGAACTCAATAACACTATTGATCAACAGTTTATAATACACATCAATAGATTATTTCATACAACAACAGCAGAATACACATTCTTCCCAAGCTCACACGGGATAGTCACCAGGATAGACCACAGTCTGGGCCATAAAACACACCTAACAAACTTAGAACAGAAATCATACATTATCTGCTCTCAGATCACAGTGGAACTAAAACTAGAAATCAATAACAGAAAGATAACTAGAAAATCCCATAACATATGGAGACTAAATAACACACTTCTAAATAACACATGGGTCAAAGAAGAACTCTCAGGAGAAATTTTTAAATGTTATGAACTAAATGAAAATGAAAATACAACTTATCAAAATCTGTGGGATGCAGACAAAAGCAATGCCTAGAGAAAATTATAACATTGAATGCATACCTTATAAAAAAAAATCTAAAATTAATCATCTAAGTTTTGGAAACTAGAAAAAGAAGAACAAATTAAATCCAAAGAAAGCAAGAAGAAAAGAAATAAGACTTAGAGCAGAAATCAATGAAACTGAAAACAGTAAATCAATAGAAAAAAAAAAATCAATGAAACCAAAAGCTGGTTCTTTAAAAAGATCAATAAAATTGATAAGCCTCAATCCAGGTTAACTAAGCAAAAAAAGAGAGAGGACACAAGTTACAAATATTAGAAATGAAACAGGTAGAACCACTACAGATCCTGTGGAAGTTTTAAATGATAATAAAAGAACATTATGGAAAATTTTATTTCCACAAATTTGACAAGTTAGATGAAATGAACCAATTCCTTGAAAAACACAAGCTGCCCAAACTCTCACAAGAAGAAACAGAATTTCAGCTTTGTAAGCTGAAAGAGTTCTAGAGATCTGTTGCTCAACAATGTGAATATACTTACTGAAATGTACATTTTCAAATGTTCAGGACAGTAAATTTAATGTTATGTATTTAATGTATAAATACATAATGTATAAATTTAATGTTACCACAATAAAAAAAATATATACATGCATATTACATTGATATATATGTATGTATATATATCAATCCCTGGGTCGGGAAGATCCCCTGGAGAAGTAAACGGCAATCCACTATTCTTGCCTGAAGAATCCCATGGAAAGAGGAGCTCGGCAGGCTATGCTCCATAAGGTCACACAGAATAAGACACAACTTAAGCAACTTAGCACACACACAACAATTACCATAGGGAAGGCAAGGGAGACCAGTATGTATTTGCAGAATATGCCTCCTTTGAGCAATTTTACAATTAAAATGAGAGACAACGAAGCAGACGTGATCTCCGCATCAGTACTAACCATGGGTGGGACAGGGCCTGGCGAATGTCTCCCCCGCCAGGTGAAGGATGGGCTGAGGAGGAAGAGCTTTGAGAAGAATACTCAAAAGTGTTGAGGGAAAGGCTTCTGAAAGGTGAGAACAAAGCTCACACAAGCCTTCACTTTTCAGCAAACAGAACTATTCATATCTTGTCAAAAATATTTTAACTTCAGGAACTTAACAAAGAGTTCATTACACCATATTTAAAAACCACAAAGGAATTATCGGCCTCTGCAAATTTTTCAGTGACTCATGCTCCCTATTAAGTTACAGAAGTTATTATGTTAAAAGTGTTACTCCCTCAGTCATGTCCAACTCTTTGTGACCCCATGAACTGGAACCCACCAAACATCTCTGTCCATAGACTTTTCCAGGCAAGAATACTGGAGTGAGTTGCCATTCTCATCTTCAGGGGATCTTTCTGACCCAGGGATCAAACCTAGGTCTCCCACATTGCAGATAGATACTTCATTGTCTGACCACGAGGGAAGCCCAAGTTATTATATACCTAAACCTAGTATTAGATTCTATGACATTGTGGAGCTCTTCTTCAACTTCACATAATACATGTTATCATTTATTTCTTTAGAAAATTAAGATATCACGTTTTTAATAGAAAATGTTCTGAACTGGAGAAAAATCTGTTTTTATCAATTGCCCATCTAATAATTCTCTTAAACCCTTTTCCTGTTCTCCTCAAAGGCAGAAGCCAGAAGACACAAGAGCAAACATATATTATGGACAGAATCACCCTGAATTCATGTGGCCATAAGCAGTGACTATCAAACTCTAAACACATCCTACTTCTCATCCACATTTACACAAGTCCTGATTGCACCCCTGCTTTTGGCCAAATGCTCAGAAAGTCATTGAGCCATTCTGTTTTCATTTCCAAATCAAATAGATAAATTTTCAAAAATAAGGGTGAGCCTGATAAGCAAAGCATACATTTACGTGTAGTTTTCAGCCCAGGAATAACTTCATTGGCCATTCAATTCTCTCATGACCTTCTAAGAATAAATTTTCCTTTTTTGATTAAGAGGCATTTCAGGTGACCTTCCTACAGGCTTAACTGTTGACAAGAACATATTTCTGAATGCCAGTACATGAAACAACTAAGAAATATTTAGATGCAGCTGTCATTCCTGCAGAGGCAATTTGTGAGAAGTAAGCAGTTTCTTAATCATTCACTTATTTATTTACTCAACATGTGTTGAGCTTCCCTGCCCTTCAACATTTAGGCAAGCAAGTGTTATTCATGCTACCTGGAGTGGATCTGCCCTACCTGGAAGGATGGGCTGCCCCTTGTTCAAAACAGGAAATTCTCGACAAACTTCCCCATCCTCTTGATCTCGTGCCAACCATCGTTGAACAGGTATGTGAAACTGTCTTTCGGCATTCAGGTCCCACAATTTTATCTATAACAGAAACAGCATGACTTCTAAAGAACTAATACATTATCAAAGAGTCAAATACAATTTTGGGTCCAAGCCTGACACTGAAGAAGGCTTTCAACTTTCTTTTAGTAAAAGCTGTTGAACACCTGACAAGAAAAGTGCTAATTTCTTCTTTTATTGCTATCTCAAGTACAATGGCATTTCTTTTCTCTAATTTGAAATTTTTCAATTTCTTATTTCTCTATATTGAAATGCCAAACATGCCAATTTCCTCCTAAATTTTCTAAGCGTCATCCATATTTTCCTATTTGGAAAGATAATTACAATTTTAAAAAATCTATTACTTCCTTGTTCCAACCTCTTAGCAATGACTTTTTTTTTTATTTTAAAGTGATTTTCTAACAACACTAGCATAAGCTTAGATTTCATGCACTACAGATTCAGATCGATATAGCTCCTTCTTCAGGTTCCTAGCAATTACTGACATTCAAGGTATCATTCTTTATTTGGGTACCTATTACACCATATTAGGGCTTCCCCAGTGGCTCAGATGGTAAAGACTCTGCCTGCAATACAAGAGACTCAGGTCAGGAAAATCCCCTGGAGAAGGGAATGACTACTCATGCCAGTATTCTTGCCTGGAGAATCCCACGGACAGAGGATCCTCATGGGCTGCAGTGCATGAGGTAGTAAATAGACAAAAATGAGGAACTAACACTTTCTATACCATATTTTATCTAATCTATTCATCTTGGACTTAAACAAAGATGTTAATAAATTCTGGTAGGGTCAGATGAATGCCCCAAATCATTGAAAAGTAGAAATATGTTTTCCGATTCTAAAATCTAGACTTTGATGAGTAGGGTACTATTATTCTTTTAGAAGCTTCAATGAGCTCTTGTTTTATCTGTTAAATTAATCTTCCTATCTTTAAAATGCCTTAAATCAGAGATTTTCAACTTTAATGTGCTTAGAAAATCACGTTATAATAAAGGTAGAATGTTGATTCCTAAACCTACTGTCTCTGTGGGCCCTGGTAAACCCCAGAAACCTGCATTCATAAAATCCCATCACAGTTTGAGCAAGGCTCCTCAAAAACAGAGTCCATTCCCTTCTGCCACCACTATTTGGTCAGGTTTTTAATTACAGTCCAAGGAAGATCATTTGAGAAATACAAAATAAATCACCATTTGAAATGCTTTATTTTGTAACCTTCCTTAAATAAACTGTAAGACACAAGATGAAGTTCAGAAAAGCAACATGATTGTTTTATGGGCTGTGGACATGTCATTATTGCAATTATAGCAATCATTATTGCTCTAAGGGCTCTGTGTTTTCATTCAAACCCCTTCAAGTTATAGGCACAAGTTAGCTTACTTAAAAATTCAAATTTCAAACTTTTAAACCGTACTATAAAAATTCAACAGAAAATCCTCTACCCATTATCTAGCATCTTGATTTGCTAGTTATGTAAGGGTGTTATATACTCAGGATAAGACCTTGGATCACGAACATCTCCTCTTCACTGGTGCTGAAGGACAGGTGAGGTAAACCTCAGGCAAACATGCGGCCTTGCAATACAGAGGAATCGCCATAGACAAAAAGACACTAAGAGCTTTCGGCCTGACGTTTTTGTTTTTCCTCGGCAATATTAAATAACTTTTTCAGATCACTTAACCACTGTCTCAGCATCCCAGCTTCATAATCCACATAATATTGCTTACTGGTTACTAACCAAATGAGTTAGTGATCACTTTCATAAATTAGTTTAGCTCACTGGGAGAGAAAAATAAAAGATAGTTATTATCATATATTATCATATATCTTCATTTACATATTAATGTGACTATCATACTTCGAAAGTTCTAAATAGCATAAAAGAGAAAAAGTATCTTATATAGAAGCCAGGCAGTAACCCTGAATTTTGAAATCTGACTTCTACACTCTGTGTTTTCATAAAGTAAATTTCATTTTTGCATTCTGCTTCAGGATCTCTTGTGTCCTTAATGTAAAAGAATGGCATTATTAATAAATATATATTTATGCTAATGAAATAAAAGATATTTACTCATCTTCCATTAATTTTTCATTAACTTTCTCATATATTATAAAACTGTAGAAGAAGTTTGCCAAGCTTCTTCAAACCCAAGGGTTTGACTGGGCATTCTTTGCCTTTTGAGAACTTGCTTAAAGATTATTTATTCTGAAATGACAAAGATGTAGATATACCATACATAAAAATGAATGACAAGTTGTATGACTTCCAGTGTTAAAGAAGTGCATTTCTGTAGTCACTGGAATAAGTAAAATTTTTCATTCTGAACAATGTAGAAAATGTAAGCCTTCTTTTGCTCCTGAAAGTACTCAGGGAGCATTATGTCACTTAGCATGAGTAAACTAAATTTGAGGGGTGGCATTCCAGTCTAGTAGAAAATTATGTCACCAAGGGAAAGGAACTAGTTTTACAACTCTTCTGAAGCAGGTAACATCCACCTAGTCATGTTTCCATCACTATTAAAACCAGGTGGTGCTAGTGGTAAAGAACCCGCCTGCCAATGCAGGAGACGTAAGAGACGTGGGTTCAATCCCTGGGTGGGGAAGATCCCCTGGAGGAGGGCATGGCAACCTGCTCCAGCATTCTTGCCTGGAAAATCCCATGGACAAAGGAGCCTGGCGGGGTCACAGAGTTGGACATGACAGAGGCGACTTAGTGCACAACCGTTTCAAGAAGCAATGTGAGTTTTTACAGAGTGCCAAGTGTTTTCTTTGCAAAGAGGTGAGAGGACTCTTTGGTTGAGGTGCTTCTCTCAATTAATTAGGTGTTAAATTATTAATGGCACATGATACTGCTCCCTTGAGGAATACACTGACTAAAAGGCCCACATTTGACTCCATCAGCTCACAGTAAAGAGTCTGATTCCCAAGCAGGATTTACAAGGATCTGGCAAAGGATGGAAGTGTGGGTACCTCTTTACAGTGCCAGGAAGGGGAGAGCCCGGAGTTGGTGTGACCAATACGGATCTTAAAGAGCGTCCCAATGTCTCCAACCGTGATCTGTAAAGGAACCACGAGAATGTCTTTCCATGTAATTTCATAAAATTTCATAAAATCCATTTTTAAAACCTTATATTACAATATTATATATTGATAGACTAATCAATCAACAAGATCTTAGAATTATACAAATTTACACACCTAGTAACAGAGTGCCAAAATACATGAAGCAAAAACGGACAGAACTGAATGAAGAAATAGTCTACAAAAATTGTCGGAGACTATTCAAATAACTCCCCTCTTTGAATAACTATAGAACAACTAAACAGAAGATCAGTAAGGAAACAGAGGACTTGAACAACATTACACACCAACTAGATCTAACAGACAGAAGGTTCCACTCCAACAAGCAAGAATACAGAGTTTTCCTATGGCTGATTAATGTTGATGTTTGGTAGAATCAATGCAATACTGCAAAGCAATTCTCCATCAATTAAAAATAAATAATTTTTAAAAATAGTAATATAGAGTTTTCTCAAATGCACATAGAATGTTCTTCAGGATAGATTATATGTCATGTCACAAAGTAGGCTTTGACAATTGAGTATCTTTTCTAATGGAATGAAACTAGAAGTAATTACAAGAAAGAAAACTGGAAAATCCCCACATATGTGTAAATTAAACTACATACTCCAGCAATGAATGAGTCAAAGAAATTGCAAGGGAAATTTAAAAACACTTTGAGATGGATGAAAATAACATACAAAAAACATAGTGGAGGGGACATCCCTGGAGGTTTAGTGGTTAAGAATCTGCCTTTCAATACAGGAAACGTGGGTTTGATTCCGGTGGGGGAACTAAGATGCCATGTGCTGTTTGGCAACGAAACCCACATGCCAAAACGACTGAGCCACGTGAGCGCAGAAACGGAAACAACGCCACTGCTGGTCTTCCCTGCTGCATCTGTGCTGCCTGTTTCTCCCTATATCTTGATCTCAGTGGGTCTAGCCAAGACCTAATCACTTGATGACAACTTCTGTAGTTTCCTTTATTTGATCATTTTTCCCTTTTGACCTTGACTTTTAGGCTTATCTGTTAAAGCCTCACACAGAAAGGCACAGCCCTTGCCCCTGACGGCCAAGAGTATAAAAACAACAAATGCTGGTCATCCAGTATTTCTCTCTAGCTATTGTCTCTTACCATATCATAGTTTTAACTTGTGTGCAATCCACTGGAGCAAAAAAATTGCCACGAATTACTTTTTTTTGTTTGTTTTTTTACGAATTACTTTTGACTGAGCTTCTGCAAGACACGTGTTGTTATGGTAAGAGGTACCCAATTCGATAGACTGCATTCATTCCAAAGTATTAATACCTACTAGATGCAACCCTTACGTTATCAGGTTGTACTCAGTTTTGCTACTCACAGTAAATGTGTCTTCACAGCCTTCCTGAAATCGGGCTCCGTCTGTTCCATAAAGATATATGGGGGCTGAACTTCTATGTTGTCCATAAAGTGTAATATAAATCTGTGAGCTGGTCCCGGCATTTGGCAAGTCACTGGTGATTATGGAAACTTTCCAGTTACCACCTATACAGGGACAAAGACACAGAGACTTACAACCACTTATGTAACGGAGCCTGGGAAGAGCGGGTCATCGTGAAGCTGAGAGTTCAGGATGACGTAACTGACTTTTCTCCCATCTCCTCCAGAAAAGTGCTGTAACACAGGACTTAGAGCCGATTTTTTAAATACTCAAGAAAATGCCTCCTACAGTGTAACTGGGAGAATATTTCCTACAAGATCTTTAATAAGGTTGTCACAGTTGATCATGCTTGGACTCCAAGAGTCACTATACAAGTTCTCCTAAGTTCCCAGAATTTTAACAAAATATCCCCAATAGTCTTAGCTCTGACATATAATATATACCCTCATAATTATATCTTTTAAGATCTTTGAGTTCAGATGTTTATTTTCCAAAATAAAAATTATGTAATAATTTACATAAACATAAAATTGGAATCAGATAATTTAAAGGAATTTCAAAAGTCACCTGATACAATTTCTTCCCTTATTAAGTATTCCTAATTAAAATAACTAAGTTCCACAGATGTTAAGTAAACTTTGTACCACCCAGCAACAAATAAAAACAGTGCTAGACTATATACAGTTCCTGGTGAACATAACTGAGATAAACTAAACATATCGACAGTAGTATGATATTCATCTAATTTTGCCAGGTTTCCTTGAAGTAAACATCAAGAATTGATTAACAAGAAAACTGAAGTAATGAAAAATCAGGGAAACACACTCAAAATGTTATCAAAAAAGAGAGAAAATTAGGCAGTAAAATTCAAAACTGTGAACTTAAGTAATATTCTACTCTAGAGTGTCAATTACTCTCACCCATATTTGACCTAAAGTATATTTCCTATCTTGATCATTCAAATAACAATCAAATTCTAGATTTAAATTTTACTTACATGGTACAATAAATATATGTTAAATGAATGTCTATTTTTTAAAATCTACTTTAAAACAAAAAATTCTACTTAATTTTTCCAACAGTAAAAAGGCATTTTAGGCTACCAAATCATCTTGGTAGACAATCAGTTAGTAAATAAAAACGCTGTTTTAAAAAACTGAAAGATCGACAGGCTGTCTTTAACAATAGCAGAAGCAACTAAATTGTAATTACAAACTACAGAGCTGGGAAAACCCTAGCTGTTTTCTGTAAAGTAACTAGTATGTTAGCACTTGTTTGAATAAAATGAAAGAAAGCTCTTCAGCGTTTGCTGCCTTAGAAATGCACCAAAGAGTTCAGGGAGATCAATACTTGCTAAATGTACAAGGACCAAATCAATAGGGAAAGAAATTGCCTTTTCCAACAACTACGATGGGAAAAGATGAAAGGTATAGGAACAGAAATAAAACTGAAAATAATGAAATATGATGTCTGTTTACCATGTTTTTGCACCTCTTTAAATCACTAAAACCTTAACCTTGGAAGGGAGTGTTGTAAAAACTAGAGTAGAATCTAAAGATCATGAACTGAGATTCATCTTTTAGTTTATAACTTCAATCAATCAACACCCCACAAGTCACTGAGTACTACTGGGCCTCCAGGGTCACAGGGAGGAGTAGATGGAAATCATAGAATGACGTCTTGGTCCTCTTACAGTCTATAATCTAGATGAAGCAGGAAGGCCAACACACCAAAGAGGAAAAAAATACCAGAACAGAACATTCTTAAGGTAGGATGTTGACGAAGTGAGGTGATGTTACAGAAAAGCTAGCAAAATAAAAATTTTTTAATTAAAAAAAAAACTGGCCCCCAAAATCAACAGAAATTAAACAAAGATGGTATAAAACCTTGTGCTATAATCTCTGTAAAACAGAAGCCAAGAGAAGAGTGAGACATGATTTCAGGAATTTATAGGGCAGCTAACCTGGCTTGCTCAGCAACATTATGGGAGGAAGAAGGTGAGTAAATAAAATTCTAAAAACCTTAATATTCATACCCTTGTTGTTACTGTTGTTGTTAAGTCACTCAGTTGTTTTCAACTCTTTGTGACCCCAAGGACTATAGTCCACCAGGCTACAAGGGATTTCCTGTCCATTGGGATTTCCCAGGCAAGAATACTGGAGTGGGCTGCCATTTCCTTCTCGAGGGATCTTCCTGACACAGAGATCAAACCCACGTCTCCTGCATTAGCAGATGGATTCTTTACCACTGAGCCACAAGGGAAGCCCATTCATACCCTATTAGGCCCCAGTTTGAAACAGCAGGTTGAAAGGTGAGTAGATGGGCTGGATAGAAATGGAATGCAGAGAATGGAAAAATGGACAAATAGTTTGATAAAAGATTCAAATTACTATAACATACACAAAATAACTAGAAATTTTCAAAAGCCCTTTATCTTTTAAAAAAGAATAATTAAAATTGGTAGTTAAGTCATTTTAATGAAGAACTACAGACCCCAGATGGTGAATTTTCTACCAAAAGTTTAAGAAACAAATAATGCCAATCCTACACAAATCCTTTGGAACAGCTCCCAAATTAGCATGTGAGATGAGCATTACTCTGATACCAAAACCAGACTAAGGTACAATTAGAAAGCTACAGAGCAATAACCCTTATGAACATAACTGAAATATTCTCGACAAAAATATGTGGAAGTGAAATCAACCACCACCTTTAGGTTGATCTCAGGAATGCAAAGATTTTTGACATTTAAAAATTAATCAGTGTAATTCACTGGGCTTCCCAGGTGCCGCAGTGGTAAAGAACCTGCCTGCCAATGCAGGAGATGCAGGAGACGTGGGCTCCATCCCTGGGTGGAGAAGATCCCCTGGAGGAAGAAATGGCAACTCACTCCAGTATTCTTGCCTGGAGAATCCCATGGACAGAGGCGCCTGGCGGGCTGCAGTCCATGGGGCTGAGAAGAGTCGCATATGACTGAGCGACCGAGCACACATCAGGTCTGTATGTGGCTTCACAGGGCTCTGGACCCAAGGGAGATCACAGCCGGTGTCTCACCCATACCTGACTTACATGCTCTCGAAGAGGGGCTTCCACATTTTTTGAGATGACTATATGATATTATATGATAAAGGATATTTTGGACTTAAAGTTGATGCTGAAATGATTAAGACTTTGGGGAATGCTGGGATGTGATAAATACATTTGGCATGAATTTTCTGGGACAGGAAAACTATTGTGCGTTAAGTCCCCAGAAAGCCATGTTCAAGCTCTCACTCCTGAGTCCTGTGCATGTGACCTTACGTGGGGACACGACTACTGTGGCTGTGATTAGCTAAGGTAAAGTCACACTTGAGTAGCGCTGGTGTCCTGTAAAAAGAGAAGAGACAGAGACAGAAGGAAGACTGAGAACAGAGATTGGAAATACGCAGCTGCAAGCCAAAGAATTCAGACTATAGCCACAAGGCAGAATAAATTCCATTTTTTCCTTTTTTTAAATTGGTGGGTGCTAGCCAAATATAAACCACTAGTGAGCTCAGCCACAAAGTGTCTGACTCTTTGCGATCCCATGGACTATAACCCACCAGGCTCTTCTGTCCATGGGATTCCCCAGGCAAGAATACCAGAGTGTGTTGCCATGCCCTCCTCCAGGGGATCTTCCCAACCCAAGGATCGAACCTGCATCTCCTGCCTTGGCAGGTGGGTTTTTTTTAATCTGCTGAGCCATCATCGGGGAAACCATGAATACTTGGGATGAAACCACTGGTCATTGTATTCCAAGCAAGGCAAAAAAAAAAAAGGTGTTGCATTGCAGCTACCACTGTTTGAAGATTGATTGTGTGAAATCAAAAGTGGTAGTAAAATAAATAACTTGTGAGTAGCAGAGACTTAGAACTAATGGAAGAGAACCGCTTCTCTAATCCTGCCAGAGAAGTCTTTCTTTTCGCTTTCCACCCCAAAGTAGCAAAATGCCAAAGTTGAGAGTCCAAGACAATGACGGACGGCTTTACAAATGGGCTGTTGTGTTTGGTTCTCGCAGCACTCCTCTGCACAAGGCCTCTAAGCACCAAGCTGACTGGACTCACACATCTTGTCCTGGCTTCTATCACCCAGGAGCATAAAGTCCATGGCTACTTCCAGGCTGTGCTTGAAACTCCCAGCAAGTCATTCAAGGCTTTGGTCTCCAGCTGGTTGAGCAATATTTGAAGAAGAGGGAAACAAGAGGAGATAGAATAACAGCAATTTTGAAAGAGAACGGAGTTGGAAAATTTTGCACTATCTGCTTTTAAGACTTATTATAAGGCTACAGTAATCAAGATGGTATGTTTTGGCATACAAATAGACACCCCAATCAATGAAATAAAATAAAGAGAACAGAAATACTCCCACACATATATGGCTGAACGATTTTCAACAAAAGTCTAGCCTTTTCAATTGAGAGTATTTCAATGAGAAAAGAAAAGTCTTTTCAACAAAGGGTGATGGAATAATTGTACATCCACCTGAAATAAAATGAGCCTTGGCCCTTACCTATTATCATATACAAAAAATAACCACAAATGAGTCAAATACATGCAAGGTAAGCACTAAAACTATAAAACTCCTACAAGAATACATAGACAGTCCTGTTATTGGGCTAGGCAGAGATTTCTTAGATGGGACTTGAAAGATATAAACCTAATATCTTACAAAAGATATAAAAATAGAATTTTATCATATTTTAAACTTTTGCTAATTGAAAGTCTCATCAATAAGAAAATTAAAAAGCAAGGTATGTACAGATGTGAGAGTTGGACCATAAGGAAGGTTGAGGACTGAAGAACTGACGCTTTCAAACTGTGGTGCTAGAGAAGACTCTCAGAGTCCCCTGGACTGCAAGAAGATCAAACCAGTCAATTCCAAAGGAAATCAATCCTGAATATTTACTGGAAGGACTAGTGCTGAAGCTGAAGCTCCAATACTTTGGCCACCCAACGTGTAGAGCCGACTCATTGCAAAAGACCCTGATGCTGGGAAAGACTGAGGGCAGGAGGAGAAGGGGGCAACAGAGGATGAGATGGTTGGATGGCATCACTGACTCAATGGACATGAATTTGAGCAAACTCTGGTAGATCGTGAAGGACAGGAAAGCCTGGTGTGCTGCAGTCCATGGGGTTGCAAAGAGTCGGACAAGACTTAGCAACTGAACAACAACAGACTGGGAGAAAACGTGTAAAACATATATCTGAATACGTTATATTCACAACATACAAAGAACTCTTACTACTCTAAGACTGCAAAGATCCAACAGAAAATAAGATTTGAAAAGACACTGTGCCATAAAACACACAGCAATGACAAACACCAGTAGTTACTAGGGAAATGCCAATTAAAACCACAAAGAGGTACCAAACAGACACCAGAATGACTAAAATTTAAAAGATGATAATGCCGAGTGCAAGCAGGAATACAGAGGCTCTGGAATTCTCATAAGCTGCTGCTGGGATGTGAAACAGCACAGCTACTTGCAGAAGCAACTTGCAATTTCTGATAAGAGTTAAATATACGATTACCATGCAACCTAGCAATTTCACTGCTAGATGTTTACCTAGGAAAAATAAAAATGTATGTCCTGTAAAAAGACTTGTACCTGTACTTGTGGTCTTGTCAGATTCCACACCCCCAGCCCACGTGCAGTGACCCACAAGCGTGCAGGATATCCTGGCCGTGAAGGTCTCCCCTCTGAGGAGCAAAAGGTTCAAGCCCCATGTCCAGCTCCCTAGTCCAGGGAAACTGCACCAGGAAGCAAGTTCTCACAAGGTCTGACTTTAAAAAACAATAAACAGCAGAGTTGACATACAGGAGAAACCGAGACTCTGCTCTTGAAGACCTTGTGCACAACCTGACTCGATCTACGCCCCAGAAGAGGCGGCAGCTTGACAAGCGCCAGGTCATACAAGGAGCTTCACTGACTAGGGGTGACTGAAGGTGTGTGCTGGGGGCAGGGGTGGAGAACCGCCTTCAGGGACAGGCAATGTGCGTCCAGTGTGATGGGCAAACTCTGTGCTGCAAGCCTCACATCCTCTCCAGCTCATCTCTCAACCTTCTTCTGAGGCAGCTCCTCACAGGGGCCCCATGTGGTGGATGAGAAAACCGAGAGAATGAGTGCTGACTGCGTGGAACATGGCTTCAGCATCTCAGTTTAAAATGGGACACATGTATGGCCCTGAAGGTGAAGAGGGAGAACACCTGATGTGCGTGTGTGCATGCTAAGTCGCTTCAGTCGTATCTGACTCTTTGTGACCCCACGGACTGTCGCCTGCCAGGTTCCTCTGTCCACGGGATTCTCTAGACAAGAATACTAGAGTGGGTTACCATGCCTTTCTCCAAAGGGTCTTCCTGACCCAGGGATCGAAGCCATGTCTCTTATGTCTCTTGCACTGGCAAATTGGGTTCTTTACCACTTGCGCCACCTGGGAAGCCCAGAACTCCTGACTGTTGTTCAGTTGCTAAGTTGTGTCTGACTCTTTGCGACCCCACGGACTGCAGCACACCAGGCTTCCCTGTGCTTCATCATCCCCTGGAAAACACCTGCTAGCGTCACGTAAAAAGCACTCCTGTCCACCCAGCCCATAACTCATTAACTAAGCTTCAACCTGAGTTAGAGTTTTGGTTGCTCCAGTCTCCTCATCTTTCCTGGGGATCAACTCTGATGGTCCCTGATAGCCGACGCTTCCCTTCATATCCCCACAACTTGTGAACTTACACTCCTTGCTAACAGTGTACTTCCTCTAATTCTGAACACTGCTAATCCCTTCTGGGTTTGAGACTCGGGGCTGCCTGCACAACTGGGTCCTCAGATCTCTGGAGCAGAGGCACACAGCCCAGGCCTGGCTTGAACCTTAGCTGCTCCAGAGAGCCCACCAGCCTCCCTCCGAGGGGCCTGAGCGCCTGGACTCATGTGGCACAGCTGCCATCTGGTGGCCACAGGTGGTAACTGCACCAGCCCACCTGCTTGTGCATTCCCCTGAACACAACAGGCTAGACCCCTTTCTCAGTCCTCAAGCACTTCATCAGGTCTGTGCTAGTCTTAAAACTTCCCCTAATGTCATTTAATCTAGATTTCCCAATGTTTTGAGATTGTTTTTTTAATGTAAGCCTTTACATTTTAATGTAAAATTTGTGAAAAATGTTAAAATCCTTTGAATGTTTAAAAGAAAAAAATGAAAACTGCCATATTGCACGTCTTAATGAAGTTTGAATGTTAAATAAATTGTATATTCACTTTAAAAAAAATGATTTTCATAGACATGGCTTCATAAAATACAACTGAAATATGGCTTCATAAAATACAAGAAACTTAGTTCTATGCCTCAGCATCTTTGCATATCTTCCCATACGTATGGATGCAGAGTTAATAAAGCAAGAGCATGACAAGCACTTTGTATCTAGCCAGCACACGTTTATCAGGCGCCCACCATGCCCCAGATCAAGTAAAATGCTAGATCTGGGATATAAACGTGAGAAAGACTCAGCTCCCAGTCTCAGACTTCAGTGCGTCGGAACACGCTCGTTTTAAACAAGTGCATTACACAGCCGAGCACCTCTCATTCATGTTCATCACTCCCAATTTATCTTTCCCAGTATCATCTGGGCCTCCCAGGACAACATTTGATGTCATATTACTAAAAACCGTATGCTATATGCCACATTTTTCTAAAACCTCCTGGTTGTTATGAGTGATTTCCCCATTCCCTTGGTATGCCTAAATAACATGGGTGTGTGCATGCTAAGACCCTTCGGTCATGTTCCACTCGTTGCGGCCCCAAGGACTATACCCCGCCAGGCTCTTCCATCCATGGGATTTCCCAGGCAACAATACTGGAGTGAGTTGCCATGCAACCCGGGGGGTCTTCCCTGACCCAGGGATCGAACCCTAGTCTCTTGTATCTCTTGCAGGCGGCTTCTTTACCTGCTAAGCCACCAGGGAAACCCCAAATATCACTCCTTCCAAATTAAAAGTAAAAATAATTTCCCTGTGTCTCTGCTCTGCAACACTGCCACAAATCTTCAATTTGTTAAAAAAAAAAATGTGGTATCTACAAAATACAATAAAGCTAAGTGTAGGTATGTCTCCACAATTTTAGCCCTTTTATTTCACAAAAATTTCTCATTGCTCATTAAAGAAGCTTACATAACATTACAATTTCCATATTTCAATTAGAAGAGTGCATCACTCAATGCAGAAAAATCATACTCTATGTAGAGGTAGTATTCCTCTGGTTAAATAAATAACAACTCATAATTTTTTATGAATTTATGACTCAAGATGAACTGAAATAGAAAATCAAGGTATTCTTTATGTAAGTAATTACTTTTAGCTCCCCAATGCCAAATTTATGTTATATTAGCACCTCCACGTGTGGCTCCAAAACCATTAATTTTGCTATTTTGAGTCAATTTCAGACAAGAGACATAGATTTCCACATTTTATAAGTCTTGTTTCTATACCATCAAACAATGAAAAACAAGAACCTAAAAAGAGTCTCTGGTCAAGACCGAGGCAAAAATACCATAAGTATTCAAGAAGCAATTTATGGTTCCCAGCCTAATCAAATTTATTTCTCCTTCTAAGCAACATGTTTTTATTTATATCTAATTAAATGTTTTATTAACACAGATGGACATGCAAAGAAATCTGTAAAGTTCTTCACAGCAGTTCTTTTTTCAAATTTAAGAACTCTGAAGTCACCTTTCTCTTTTCTTTTCCAACTTAAATCATTCCAGTTCTTCTCATTTTTCTTCACAAAGCTTGCCTTAAATTTTTTCATTTTCTCTGACCTACTTAAATTTCTTGACATCTTACTAATGTTAAAGAGATTATAATTTCTAGGCAAAGTACTGGAGAGCCAGCTGAGTGGTACAGCATCATTTTCTACTCATGAGGAAAAATGGTGAGTCCTGTCCTAAGGAAATACTTGCGAGTTCATTAGACAGATGTTATGAGGAAAGTAGATTCAATACATTTGGCACACACACACACAGACACACACAAACATTACAAGATTGTTGTGAAACTCTAATCATACTTTCATCAAATCAGTAGTTAAAATTAATAAATAATCTTCAGTTATGTCTATTCCAGTAACTCACCAATACCTTCAATACACATTTTGCACTAAGTTGACATTTAAAAAAAGGGAGGAAGAGATGTAATTCCTATCCTCAGGGCATTTATGATATCTTAGAAATAGAAATTAGAAATAGAAGAGAAGTAAGAAATTACACATGTTCAAGAGAAAAACGCATAGAAAGTTCAAAAAGAATAGACGCTGAGTCTGTAACTTCTGGAAAAATGAAGAATACAAGAGTGATTAAAATCAAATTGGATTATCCAGTGGCAAGATTTCTAGGGTAAGTTCATTCTGAAGAAGTGGGAAATTTTTAGCAGTATCTAATCCACGTCCATCCCATATGCTTCATCTTTTCATAAGGAGAAAACACTGATGAAAGGCTGCACTGATACTGAAATTGGAAATCTGCTCATTCATCACGGCTTTCAAGATCAGTCCAATGTAATTAGTTTTCCTCTTCCCAAATGAAAAGATTTTCATCTTCAAAAATATAAAATATTTCTAAGATATTTCTGTTGCTAATACCTAAGAATGTCTCGGCTTGGCCAAGCATTTCAAAGGACAAATGAGACCTGTGTTCTCTGACTACTTGGTTGAGATTGGTTCCTGAGTTCTGGAATCTGCTATTTAATAAGTTATTGTTCTCATCAATTACTTCAAAGATATCCTTTGTCTGACTGCTGGGGTCTTGTGTATTTGAATTCACCTGACCCACAACTAACAACAACATGTGCAAGAAACTCTTTAAATATGACTGAAATTTATTGAAATTATTTTCTTCCTCTAAGCCCATGCAGTTACTTCGTTTTAATTTTCTCCTTCTGTCCATCAAGTCAAATGTGTTATTAAAATGAGGCCAATCGTGTGTATTGGCAATGGCATTATCAGTAAGTGTTCTTCTACTTCTTGTTTTACTGTTCTTATCTCTAAACATGGTTTTGCTTGACTGTTGTAAACATGGGTGTATTTTCATCCATAACTGGAGACTCAATGAATTTTCAACATCAGAATCTGTGCAATATGCAAATCCTCGGTGTTCCTCATTTATGGGCTGGTTAATCACAGTTAGTATTGGGCAATGTTGACCACAGATATTATAGAGTTTATCCAAAGAGTCGTCTTCCCGAAGGGCTCCATGAATTACATTACTACCAGCCAATGGTTGGTTCTTAACAGCACTATCAGAGACAGGATGGACTTTGTTACCAGCAGACGCGAAGACATGTGTGGCAGACGTACACACTCTCTCTGATCTAAGGTTACCCTTCTCCTCTGCTGGGTGATTTGGTTTTCTCTCCTGAGCACAAGCTTCATCTTGAATATCTAGCTCATCATCACAGAAGGGCTCCGAGTCAGTACAATGAGGCATGTTAAAATAATTGCATCTCAGCTCAGGAGGCTGAGTCAGTTCCTCTAGCTCTGAGGAGGATAGTTCAGCCATGCTTGGGCCTGGAGCCAAGTTTCCAAAATGTGAATACAGAACCTCGTTGCTGTTATTATCCAGTAGAGTATCCACTGATGTCGTGTCTGCATGGCCACATGGGTCAGAACATTCAGGTGATGACACTCTTAGCAAATGATTTTCTTTCAGGAGCCACTTGCCCTTGTCGATCAGTACTCCCTCTTCCCTGTCCCTGAGGATTCTTTTATGATCATTCTGTTCTGTACCATGTTCTGCAATATCTTCCCTGGGATAACTGGCCCTCACATTATTAACATCACATTTATCTCGTTTTTGCTCTGGAAATTTCTGCAACACACTTGAATTACTAGATACCAGTTCTGAAGAGCCAAGTGACTGACCTTGAGGATCATAAAGACCTACTTTCCCAGTGCCCTGAAATTCCACAGAATCACAAGGATAAACCTGAGATGTGTGTGTAGATCCAGCAAAAAAAGATGGTCTCATCATCTCTGCTTTACCATAAAGTTTCTCTATTGCCCTTTTAACAAATCCTTTGTTGCATTCTTTCTCTGGGATCATCTCCTCATCATTGTCACTGGGGCCATCACTGGGTGTTTTGTATGACTGTTCATTCTCACTGTCTTGTCTATAATCTGACCAATCAGAAGTTCCTGACCTTCTTAGACTGTTTTTAAAATTAAGAGGGGACTCTGAAGAACTTCCAGCTTCCAAGCTTTCCACCATCTTTTTGACTCTTGTTTTAGTTTCTCCATCACTGGGCTCCTTTTCCATATTTTGCTTAGAATCATAGCAAAATACTAAAGATGGTGGAGTCACCAGTCTCCTACTGATTGTCTCACAAATTACACCATCCTTTCCTACTTCTGCATCATTTCTGCTGGACACTTCGATCAATTCCAAACTCCTACTAGCCTCTAACTCCTTTCGGATCAATTCTTCAGTCACTTGCTCCCCTGAATTTACCTTTGTATTAAAGATAACAGTGTTCTGGTTTTCTAATTCCTCAAAAGATTCCAATTCTGAGACGTTTCTTTCACTTGATGTCATGCTGTTGGTTGTTGAGCCTGGTTCTTCAGAAGTCTTTGAATCCTCCTTATCAAAAGATGTATATACATTTTTATCCTGAAATTTCTTTAATGAACAACTTTCAAATTTATCTAAAAAACTATTTTCTCCATGAAGTTCTGATTCAGTTGTATTTTGGAAAGAGCCACAGTGGCTTAAATTACTGATACTTTGGTGTGACACCAACATATTAGAGCCATGTTTATACCCAGGGTCTGCCAAAATATTTCTGTCTTTCTGAACTTCATCAACTCTTTCTAACTCTTCAGTCAATTCCAAATTATCAGCTCTCTCATAGATATGGTTTTGCTCGTAAGTACAAGCCTCATGAGAAGACACAGCATCAGTAAGTGAAGAGATGTCTCCTAAGAAACAAGCCTTGTTCATGGAAGTCTGATCCATGGTACAGTCATCACTGGGGAAAGAATCTTCACTGAGGTGACAAGTCTCTTTTGGAGGGTAAGTCTTAACTACAGTGCCCATTTTACATGGAGAGCGAGTCACTGCTGTAACACAGACTTCAGAGACTTCCTCACCAGCAGTATGGCTTCCATCTAAAGAGATTTTCTGTGTTTTCCCATTTTCAGCGCACTGAGGAGCTATCTGAATGTTGCGTGTAGAGCAATTTGCAGAAAGACCTATTGGAACCACATCCTGTTCTTTCTCAGTGAGTCCAAAGTGATTCGTGGTTGATTCCAGTAAGCTGGCCACGGCGGCCTTCAAGTCATCAGCTTCCTCTGTGACAGCAATGTGCTTCAGCACCTCCAACAATGCAAGTGTTTCTGAACTTCCACTGGTCGCCTTGAGAGCGTCACCTGGACAGAAGCTACTCATACCTCTCTTTAGGTTTAGCACCAGAAGCCAAGCTAGAAGTACATTAGTGGAGGAATTACATATCAAAGAAGGGAAGGGAATTTCTGAAAGTGGACCTGGCATCTGAACAACTCCATTTTGAGCCTTGGGACTACTAGGAACCAAAGCTTGCAGCTGGCGAAGCAGCTGGACTGGCGACAAGCGTTGTGGGGCGTCCCCTTCCAGATCTACTTGTACAGCAGTCTCTACGCTTGGCCCTTTTGCAGCAAGGTTTATATCTTTGTAAACAAGGCTCACCTCTTGCCCTGACTTCACAGCAGACACCTGACTTTTAGCATTAGGATCATCAGTAGCTGACTGCGACCAAGTACAGAATTCATGAACAGAAAGCAAGGAAGTATCATTCAGGGAGTCAGTATGGCTCTCACAGTGATCCTGGATGAGTTCTTCACTGCTACCTTTGCCTAAAGATATACCTACTTTCTTCCCTAGATTGTCTCCTGTCAAAGTGGCACTTTTAGTTGTGTGTCTATTACTTTCCAGAACAGAATCATTTCCTTTTCCAGAACTAGTGTAGGAACTGTTTCCTGGAAGAAAACCATTTTTGTAACTCGCCACACCCCTTTCCTTTTTGTATACTGGAGCTGACTTGCCAAGTTGCAAAGCTGTTTGTGGACTTAAGTTCTGCAACCATCTTTGTACATAACTTTGAACTGAATGATGGGTAACATTCTCAGGAAAAACAGCTTTTTCCAAAGAAGCCAAAGAATTTGCCCTGGTTGTGACATGCTGCTTACTTACAGCAGTATCTGATTTCAACTTATCCCTTTTTGGTTTTTTCTGGCTCCTTAAAGTTACGTGTGAATTATTAACTTTTGAAACTAAACTCCTCTTTGATGTTCCTCTCAAATACCAAGATGCTGTTTCTGCCTGAGACTCTGGCCCACAAAAAGCATTGGGTTTTTGCTCAAGGAAGTTAAATAAATGAAATAAATTTTGATTTTCAAAAGTATTTTTGCAATATCCAATCTCATTGTGGGAAAACACTTTCTCTCCTTGACCAATTTCTCTTTTTGTAGGTCCTCCCAAGTTTACTTTGTTTAGTGGTCTGGATTGTCTTCTGGCTAAAAGTCCTTGAACCTTAGGTTTATGAATAGCATTTAATTTATTTCTATGTAAATTTCTGGAATTCACAGGATTATTACCTTTCGAAGAAAAACAATTTGATTCAATTACCATATCACTTGCATGGAGGTCTTTTTCACAAAGTATGGCCCCTTTAAGGGGACTACATGAATCTTGCAATATGGTTTCCTGTGCAATTCTACCTCTTGTGTTCATTCTCTTATTCTTCCTGGGGATTCTTTTAGTTGCCATCTCTCCAGCCTGATGCTGAGAATTTATCACACGCTGCTGAGATTTCATCTTTTTTTTGCTAGCAACAGATGATGAAATCTGCTTTTCATTTTCTGGAAGTTTTGTTAAACCACACTGAGAAAATGCATGGAGCAGTTGGTCAATTCTTGTAGTGACAGTAGAGGGTGCTACCGAAGCTGGGGTCTTGGAAATAGTTTTGTCAGTCCCAGGGTTGTTACTTGAAGAGTGAGCTGCATCTGCTAAGAAAGGGCCGGATCTATCATCTGTGTTACCGTAAGTTCTTAAATTCTTAACACTAGCTTCGTTGTCTGCTGTGACATTATCAACTACACCTTCCTCCACAATTGAGTTTTCTGATGTAGTCTGTGGCAAGCCACCATTATGGGACATCTCTAACATCTTCTGACTTGTAATTTCTACAACACCAGCACTTATTGCACTTGATTTGAGCAATCTGCTTTCCTTTTTTCTTTCTAAAGATGATGCTACCTGCTCATCATTATCAACTTGAACAAGTATGGGTCTGTTGGACACAGATGACATTTTACTGCAAGAATGTGTGACCATGTGATACTCAGACTTGTTTTCCCAATCTTTCCTTTCTTCATTGTAGGAAAACTGCCCAATCATTTTCTCTTGAACCTCAGTTTCAGATACTAAGGTCACACTCCCTATCACAGACTTCTTCTGCCTCACTCTCCTTGGTCCAGGTGTAGGGGGCCTGTAGAAACGATGCTTCACTCGATCCTGAGTTCCCTGGGTGGCATCTGTGTCCATAATAGGGTTCTCCCAGCTAGTAGAACTGCAAGTTTCAACATCTTGATCTTTTACTTGAGTGTTCACCTCCTCCGCTAGACTGTCTACCTGACTACCACCTTTCTCCAGAGGTGAGACGTCTGCTGACAATGAACATGCAGTAATCTTTACACCAGATGATCGATCATCCATTCTCCCTGGGAGACTGCTTATTTCACTTTTTCCACCATTATTGGACAGGTCAGCTCTACAGAGAGTGGTTGTCCATTTTATGGTTTCTTCCTCCTTTATCTTGAATCGAATTTTCATCTCAACTGTCATAGTGCCATCTTGATTAAAAATAACTGATTTCTCAACATCATCTTCAGAAGGATATATCAATAAATTCTGAGAATCATTTTTTTCTAATGCCAAGTAATTTTCAGAAGCAAAAGAATGATCCGAGTAGCAATCATTACTCTGCATTTTCTCAGAAGAAAGAGAATAAATCTGAGACGTTGGGCTTGAAGGTACATGTGTGCTCACTTTCAAGGTTTTAAAAGTAAAATACAACGTGGAAGAGAGAGAAGTCATAAATATCCAATAGAGGAGGCAGCAAAGAAAGAAAAAAAGAAAATGAACAATTAGTATGAAAAATACCCTATTTTCTAAATGTCATAGTAAGATGATGTTAAATTTCTCACCTCTATGTATCATTTGGTCACTTTAATTCATGGTAATATCTGGTACGTTTCTACAACATACTCTTTAAAAAAGAACTTAAATTCTACTTCAGTGAGGAAATTCACAGAACTGTACTTAAGTCTTAATGAGTTTAATAAGGTAATTTTAATACAGAAAGTATAAAGTAGAAACTGCTAAAGATTCTAGCAAAAATAAAGAGGTTTCTGTGAGGTTTGGTTTTGCTGTATTATTCTCTTTCACAGTACTGGACTTGGGGTGTAATCCAGTGCTGCTTACCTAGCCATACAAGCAAGGGATAGTTTTTTGGTGGTATCCATCTTCCTATCAGTATGTATCAAAGAGAGGTATCTATAGCATTGCCAAAGTGAAAACAGTTTTATAATTTATTTTAAAGGCAAGATTAACTTAGTAATGATTATTAATTTAACATCATCTTCTATAAAAAGTACATTTAATTTAATGTCAGTCACAAAAGAGAAGAAAGCTAATCACACAGCCAGATATCTAGGTATTTTTTTAACATGCATCTCTAGCGATGACCTTGGCACTCATGCTTCCCCAACTCAGTCAAATTACGATCTGTAGCTTGTATAGACATGCACATGCTTGTGCTGTGCTATGCTTAGCCACTCAGCCGTGTCTGTAGTTCACCAGGCTCCTTTGTCCATGAGATTCTCCAGGCAAGAATACTGGAGAGGGTTGCCAAGCCCTCCTGCATGGGATCTTCTCGACTCAGGGATTGAAGCCGGGTCTCGGTTGTCTCCTGTACTGGCAGGTGGATTCTTTACCACTGAGTCACACCTGGGAAGCCCTATGCATATGCTTACCATCAATTAAACACCTTTTGCTTCAGGGTATAAGGCTAGAGATACTTTCTCTTATTTTTGGAATATATTTACCAAAATTATAAATGAAAATGTTTCACTCATTATGTTTTAATGTAAAAACTTACTGAAGCCCTCAGATTCCCTGAAGCCATCAAAAACCATGCTCAGAAACCCACATCAGAGAGAAGATAATAAAATCAGTTTAACAAAATGACCAGGGTGAAACAATACTACCCTAGGCAAAATAGATATTTAGCTGCACACATGCACACCCTATGTACCCAATCCCCATGGACTTCCCACATGGCACAATGATAAAGAATCTGCCTGCAATGCAGGGGACACAGGTTCAATCTCTGGGTCAGAAAGATCCCCTGGAGGAGGAAATGAGAACCCACTCCACTATTCATGCCTGGAGAATCCTATGGACAGAGAAGCCTGACAGGGCTACAGTCCATGGGGTCACAAAGAGTCAGACACGACTGAACCAACAGAACACATGAAATAACTAAATAACAACAATAAGTAAGAGTTGAATCTGCCCATTTGAGCAATAGGTAGAGGAATTATCACTACTTAAAATGTGTATTATAGCATGTTGAAAGAAAATAAAAACTAAAATTGAAGTGTAAATGGCAATCAACACTTTAGCACCGAGTTAAAATGCTGCACACAATGAATAATGAGATCAGCTATGACTGAAAAGGGTAACTTACAGCCTATACCACACTCATGGGTATCAAGAGGTCCTCATCCTCCCCTATCCAAAGGATAATGTCACACTGTATGATATTTAAGGACCTGTCAATCTAGAGTACTGTTAACTAGCAACTGGCCATATGAATTTTTTTTAATTAATAAAAAGTGAATCTAAGGGCCTATGGTTTTTACTGGAATAACTTCAGAAAGTGGAGCATGTATGTAATTAAGAGAATTTTTTTAAAGTCAATCAATTAATCTGAGCTCAGCTGTGCTACATGGTATTTATTATATACAGAAAACGCCAAAACTATTGGTGCGTCGCTTACTCATATCCCATAGAATTTAGAATTCCTCTCTAAATCAAGAAATGATGGCATTTTGATCTTTTATCTAGGTATTAGGTGCAAAACAAAAGAAATAAAAAGAAACTCATCAATTTAAATAAATATATCATTGACTGATTTGAAAAACAATCTTTTTAAAATTATTAATCTCTCTGACTCGTTGCAGCTATAAATAGAACCAATTTCAGTTTAAAATGTTTTGATCCTCTCTTTTTCTGTGATGAAGGAAATTGGTCATTTAAGATAAATTGCTGTTGTTGTTTTTGAGGATAAAATAAAAAAACCTAAGGGCTAAAAATAAGGGCTATATATTTAAGTGACTTACTTTTTCTGCTTTCTGACCTAGCATTTCCCTTGGGGTACACACGACGAGAGATCCCTGGTAATCTAGCAGGAAGCAAGTACTTTTGGATGTCATAATTTCCTGGTTTAAACGGTTCCCTTCCTGCTGCCACCACAGCTCCAGAGCTCAGGATCACAGCCTGCAGACTGGGAACCTAGGGAAAAAAATCAAAGAGTTGTGGTCCTGACACGAGCAACATGAAGTTCTGTTCTTTCCATACATTGAGTTTATGACAGACTGAATTAATTTAACAACCTCCACAGTTTGAAAGAGATACTCACCAACTGTCTGTTGGGCACCAATGATGTATACAAACTAATGAAGTACCAAATGGCGATGGGGGGGGAGGGGGGCGGGGAGAAGGGGGCATTAGACCAACATCTTTATTCAGCCCACAACTGCCTGGGACAGATCAGACTTCTGCCCTCATAACTAAACAAACCTTCAAAAGGTATGCAAGACTGCCCTGTCCTACCCACCTAAGCACCCAGCTGGGAAAGGGCCTGACAGTCACTCCAAGACCACAACATTGAGTGACTGTGGCCACGCAGGTCCCAGAAAAATGCCTTCTGTCCCCGACAGAATAGCACCCTAGGCCACTCTCTTTAAAGAAATATCATTGAGATTATGTAACAGGGAACAGAAAATCTGACTCTATGTTGGATCTGTTTCTTTGACTTTAACCTTTGCTTTCCAGTTGCTTTTGTTATTATCATCACATTATCAGCCATTATTACATAATGGTTGCCTCAGGGAACCCAGCTCGTCTGCCAGAATGCTCACATAAAGTGCCTTTGTTCAGGTCATAGGGAGACAATCTGACCTTGCCCACCTGTGGATGGCTGCAGAAAAGAAAAAATTAACACGACCCCACCCCAGGCTGGCCCAGGCTGGCCCAGGCTGGCCCAGGCTGGCAATATTTTGCAAAAATAATGGCTATTTTACTTTATTTCCTCACCTCCTCCCCCTCTCTGTTCTATAAAAAAACTGGCATACAGATTCCAAAAAGATGGTTTTGGGGGACACTAGTCCTCTCAGTCTGCTAGCTTTTGAATCAAGTCCTATTCCTTGCCTCAACACCTCATCTCAAGGTGTATTGGCCTATCCTACAGTAACACATTATGTGCCAACACCTTCTGTAAGTCAAGGCTCAGGGGAAAGAGTGAAGGAGAAAAAAGAGGTCCTCCTGGACCATGCCTCATCCGAATCTGACCTCAAAAAGAAGAACATCCACCCAGATGAGCCAGTGCCCTGCCATGCACACTGAAGCATGTTAGCATGCAACTGTGAGCCTGCACGAACGCTCTAACACATGCATGCACGCACGTGGGAGAAACCTTCTCGGGGGAGGGGAGCACCATCACATCACTCACCACTCGAGCTCAGATGTGAAGAGCCCCCGTCCCCTCAAACGCTCACCTTCCTTCCGTCTGTGGCGTACAGCTTGGTCACCGGGCGCTGCATGACCTGTGTCAGGTACTGCAGGAATACCTCGAAACTCTGCGTGACCCTCCTGTTGAGCACGATTGCACGCCTCGTCTTGGGGTCGCCATTCCTGAAGACCACGAGCCGTCGCGGCACGCGCAGCATGCCGGGAGCAGCAGGGGCGGGGCCTCGCTGCACATGCGTGCTGAGAGCTCGGCTGCTGAGCCAGGGCCGCGGGCGACGCCGGGCCTTGTCCAAGTCCACTGGCTGCACTTTCCTGCCATGGGAGCACAGGTACGACTGACCGTCCTCCAGCTCCTCCAGGCGCGTGATGCTGTGCCTCCCCCGGGGGGTGCTGATGTTCCTCACCCCGAAGGGCAGGGGCACCTTGCCCGACAGATTGTCCAACAGAGCATCGAATGTCTTGAAGGAACGAGGATTCAGCACCACCCGGACCCCGCCGAACTGCGGGTCTCCACTCTTGTAGAAACTGATCCTTTTGGCCACGACAGGCTGGGTGATTCCCGACTGGCGAGGAGAAGGAAGCTGACCTTCAGAGGAGATCCGGCGAACCATGGAGAAACTGGTGGAAGGAGTTTCGCTCATTTTGGTTGAGACCTGGGGAGGGAAGGAAATTATTCATCTTCATGGTAACAGCACCAAGAGGAATACGTGCTGATGCTAACACAGCTACTGATAGCTGTTCCTAGGATTTCATTCATTCACTTATTCATTCGTTATACCTTCCTGTTTTGAAAGATAACTTTCAGGGCTTAAAATAAAAAGATATAAAAGCAGCAGTTAAGTAAGGGTGTTTATAATTGAAAGATTAAAAGCAGCCTAAAGGAACATCTATGGTGGTCTAGTGACTAAGACTCTGCTCTTCCCATGCAGGGAGCCTGGGTTCCATCCTTTTTCAGGGAACTAGATCCCACATGCCACAATTAGAAATCTGACATGCTGCAACTGAGACCCAGCATAGCTAAATAAATAAGTAAAATAAATAAAAATTAAAAACAACCTAAAGACACCACTGAATTGGGCACAGGTAGATAAATCATGAGGTATACATCCATGGAAAACTGCACAACCATTAAAGAGGGCTTTATTGGCCTGTACTTATTGGCATAGAGAAATGATCATGACATTTATTACTAAGCGAAAAAGCAGCTTGTAGAATACACACGCTAGGCCGTTGCCAATGTGTATAACATTTATTATACTAGAAGAAGAAAATGTATATACAGCCCAGTGTTGATGGTGGTTATCTCTGATGGCAGAGCTGTGGATAATATTTGTGTTCTTTATACATTGCCAAATTTTGTGAATCTTTAAAATTAACAGGTATTATTGAACAATTTTAAAAATAAAAGGAACACAAATCAGAAACCATCCAATGAAAAGAGCTTTGCAACTTATCAGTTTAGTTCTGCATGTCCTGGCAGTCAAGGAAAAGGGAGAACACAGGAAAAGTTTATAAAGTTCAAATTGTCTGTTAGATGGAATCAAATGAACTCATTTGGAGGAAGTTGTTTCATGACATTAAACATTCTGGAAGGCCCTTTAAAAAAGGGCCATATTAAGGTAGTTTAAGATGTTTTCATTACAGATTGTAGAAAATGCAGTTAAATTACACACAACTAATCCTAAGTTGGAAAATGCTGCACTAAACAAATATTTTTAGAATGAATGACGGCATTACTATGGGCTGCTACAAATGATGCAATCTGGTTACTGCTCCCAGTAGAGCCTGGAAAGTGAAATTTTCCAACGGAATTTAAAAGCCGTTTCAGCCAATCACTGAGGTTTTCCTTGTCCACATTCCAAGAGTCTTACTGACAAGTGAGCAGCTTGTGGGAGGGTTTATCTGAGGCTTGGCTTGTTTTTCATTGGTAGCACACTGCAGCTACTTTCTGTTGTTCTAAATCAATGTAATTATTAGTGTCTTTTGACAGAGTAAGAATGCCCTGCAGCCTTGAAGACAAATTGGACAAACTAAATAAATATGATCAGTATCATACAGATGAATAAGGCAAGTTCAGCACTGTAAATCAGCTATAAATCTGGGCCAAATCACTCACTTAAATGTTTGCAAGCTGTTATCTAAGACTCTTCATTTATCTCCAATATGACTTGCCAATATTATTTATATGTAACATAATATAATGCGTTCAAAGATCAGCCTAGAAATGAGATGTGACTCCCCTTCTCTCTTCTCAAGCAGTTTACAGTAATTATAATACTTAAGACACAAAAGGCAGTGTAGCAGGAGCTGGGGAATCCAGCTTTGCAGTGTCAGCAAAACCTCAATCTCTGCTCATCCTCGGCTGATAAACTCTGGTCTGACCTGACAAACTGTGCCATGCTGTTGTGATGAAAGGGATGAATTTCTTCATTATCTGAACAAAAGACTTCAGAAGTCGTTGCCTCCAACCACTTTTTAGGCTCCTTTACTTAATATTTATTTGAAGTTATTTTACATGAATAGTGTTTAAGACATATTTTTCACCTAAATTTGAATAGCATATTCATCTATATGTAAGTTCATGTGTGCGTGCTCAGTCGTGTCTGACTCTTTGAGACCCCATGGACTGTAGCCTGCCAGGCAAGAATACGGGAGGGAATTTCCACTCCCTTCTCCAAGGGATCTTCCTGACCCAAGGATCGAACATGGGGCTCCCGCACTGGCACGCAGATTCTTTACCATTTAACCCACCAAGTTCCTGGTGAGGCTTTTAATTCCAGTAGCATCCTGCCTGGATCTCACTATTTAGAGAGCTGCTCACCTGCTGGTCATGTTGGGAACACAGTTATGTGAGCTGATACACTTAGGGTTTTGTTTGGCAGTGGGGGGTGGGGGGAGGTGTCTTGGTTTTTGTTTGTTTGTGGTTGAAAAACGAGAAAGATTTTGTGCTGGGACCAGAAAGGAGACCATGGAAGATAGGGTCCGTGGGAGGGAAGACATGGCCCCCATGGTCCCGGTCTGACTGCTGCCCAGTCCTGATCATTGGTTTTGAATCTAATGCATGAAGGAAGAAGCTGGAGTTACCATGTCCTGGGAAGAAGCCATATGCCCAGCAGAGGAGGACCATCTGCAGAGCAATTACCTGCAGCAGAGTAGTTGCCAGGCACCTTGAAGAGGAGGCCACAGCAAAAAAAAAAAAAAAAAAACAAGTTCCTCTGGTCCTCACTGCTGCTAGAGGATCTCTGGGAACTCCTGGAAGTGACTGGAGGAAGTTTTGGAGAGAGTATTGATATTTTGCATACATGTGGCTGGGATTTCAGAGCCCATGGTGAGGTGGGCAAGCCCAGCAGAGTCTAATGAAGATTCCACTATTATTGAATAAAAGGATCTCTGTGCATACAGTGGGACTTCCCTGGTGGCTCAGACAGCAAAGAATCTACCAACAATGTGGAAGACCTCAGTTCAATCCCTGGGTCAGGAAGATCCCCTGGAGAAGGGAATGGCTACCCACTCCAGTATTCTTGCCTGGAGAACTCCATGGACAGAAGAGCCTGGCGGGCTACAGTCCATGGGGTCACAAGGAAGCTAGGATCTTGAGGCCCTCCACTGTCCTCACCACTGACTGCCCTAGAGGTAGCAAAGCATCCAGCACACAAAAATCTCTTGCCTCCGACCCCAAATTATATTGAAATCTGCTTCTAATGACAGCTTGCTACCAATATCATCCCCTCTTCTTTGAATGCTCTTCATTGCCAAATCAGACCATGAAGCTGTGAATACTTGCATAGCTTTTTAAGATTAACCAGATTTAGCACCCTTGGTTTCCTTAGGTGCAACTATTGTTACACTGCTCTGTACTGTCACTGGTCTGAGTCCTGTGTGCAGCTCACAGCTAAATAGTTGCCTCTACCAAGAGGGCTTCTTCTCTCCCTTCCTTCTCTCCCCCACTCACTTGACAACAGATGACAGGTTTATAAGTTGCAGGCACATCATTTCTTAATTGTATTTTTAATTTAATTTTCTGGCACATAGTAAGAATGCAAGCCATTCAGAAAGAAAAATGAAGTAGAAAACAAAATATAAAGCAGGTATATTCATTATGTTCTGTAGTGATTCAGAGATCTGATGTTGTAAGAAAAAATATTTCATTTCACAGGTCATAACTCTATGGAGTGGGGCTGGGGGTTGGAGTTCAGAAAGGAAATATGGGACTTATTCTCTATGGCTTCCCAGGGGGCACTAATGGTAAAGAACCCGCCTGCCAATGTAGGAGGTGTAAGAGACACAGGTTCAATCCCTGGGTTGGGAAGATCCCCAGAGAAGGAAACAGCAACCCACTCCAGTATTCTTGCCTGGAGAACCCCATAGACAGAGGATCCTGGCGGGCTATAGTCCATGGAGTCGCAAAGAGACATGACTACAGTGGCTTAGCACACATGCACATTTCCGGTGGCGGTCCCAGCTCTTCTGAAGCACGGGCACCCTCCTTCTTTGACGTATTGCACAGATATCTCTAATGAGTAAATAGAGCTTTTAAATCAGGAAAAAACCTTTACTCATATTTGAATACAATTGAATTTCTTGATTTCCTGATATTAAAGTTCCCTCCTACTTCCATATCAGCATATTGAGAAGGTTTCGTGCTTATCTGGGTAAAGATAATATTAGCAATAGCTATGGTTTTTCTAATGGTTATAGATAGAACACAAATATGTAGTCTAGATATAAAATATAAAATAAAGTACAGCTAGCTAAAATAGATTATTTTCACAGTAAAGATTTTTTTAAATAGTTTTGTACTTACCAGAACTTGAAACTTCCCTTTAAAAGATGGCTCAAATTCAATAATCCTCACAAACGTTACTGGATATGTGACCTGTTCGTTTCGTGCAAAGAAACTAGTGTCCTTGGGTGTATTCTGAGTGGGGCCGCTCAGAGATTGAGGGCAGCCAATTAATTTAATCCGAGGCGATGCTAATCACCAGGCAGACTGCACCTTAAGGGAACCACAGCCAGAGACAAGCCAGTTCCCATCATGCTCCAGAGTCCTGAGTCTTCCTAATTAGTATCTCTTGCATTGCTTTCTGCTTCCCTAGTATCATTCTCAGGGGAAAGTACTTCCCCAATTCACAAGCATTTTCCTCCCAGACAGCCTCAAGTCATCACTTATTTGTATTAAAGAGAAAAAGTTGTTATGCTGCTAAAAATGACATTTTTGTCATTCTTTGATAAGTAGTTCTGAGTCAGTATTTACTCATGGTAGTCATTAAAAAGAAAAGGACCTAAGCCCTTTGTTTTTAATGCAAGCACTCCTGAGTGTTATGGCATCGATGTAGTTCTATAAAAAGGGCTGTAAGTGTAACAGTCCATCTGCTCAGCACAGCACAGTGCGAGAGGCGCCATGCAGAAGGGGTGCTACGCCTCCACACACCCTGTCTCTCCCACTGCTCTGCTCAGTCATCAGGGGTTTGAGCGTGTTTCAGGACTGTGTCACACACGCAGTCCCCAAATGACACATACTGCCTCCAACAGCTACCTGCAGTCTAATCTGATTTGAAGATGCCTCCCACCTAATCGGATTTACCGGGCTTCTCAAGTCAGCTTTGAACCTCAAAAACAATGGGAGGGGTGCTCTGGGAAA